GGTGATGAATGTGTAGATCCTGTTCCGTTACCATCCGTTATTTCTGTACGATAATGATAGTTTGCTACCGTACTGACGAAACGACAAAATGCGTGCCGCAACTGTTTACTTGCCGTTCGACGCTACAAACCTAGTCGATCGCGTGCTGGTGTCGTACAGGCCACCTCTAGGCTATTGAATTCTCCCAGATGTGTGCACCGTGCTTCTGAAATTACTCTGTTCAGACGAGGTTGGGATGCGGACTCAGTATCAGCTGTAATGAGCGAGTCAGAGCAGCCTCTGGGCGCGACCGAGACAATGCTACACTGAGTTGCTTGCAGCTATAGTCAGTCAATGGAGCACACGTGAATATCGTTGAGTAGAAGCGCTCTCACACAATGCCATCCTGCTACTATATTAGTGGCCAAGTCAGGAAATGACGACCAGCCATCGACTTGGCGTGTGCGGCACCCCACAGTCTGATCACTCTGTTGATGATCTGTATATCATTCTCATGGAGCATGAGCCGTCAAACGGAGATTTGAGCTCGATTGGGTGTAGAAGTGATGGTGACGCGTAGTGATGTTCGTGCGTTCGGGGAAGCCAACCTGAGTACCGGACTGCTGTATTTGCCGAAAATCTATGTGCACAGAATACGTAGTCGGGGCCCATCAAGAGGCGGGTTGCTGTGGGAAAAGATAAGAACGGAAGTTGAAAAAAGTTTGGCGTGTGTTTCGTGTAGAGGGTAGTGGCTCATATGTCACATGCTCGTGGGCATTGGTGGGCATTGGTGAGGCCCAGTCGCTCTTGCTGCTTGCCTGAAATGTTCCCCATCCCAAGTCGGAACATCAAGATGGAAGTAACGACTGTCGTCGTGCGCGTCTGCATGTCTCCCCCACGAGTGTTGCCTCTACTTGACAGGTTCGAATGGTCTTCGATTCCCTGCACCAACCGCGCTGTTTCACTCACGTTGGGCAGCAGCAACAACAAATCAAGTAGACGTAATCACAAACGGGGGTCGCTATTGTTTTGTCTCGCGCTGTTGGCGTCACTAACTTGCAGCTGGTGGTAGACGGCCCAATGTTAAGAGTCGACGGCGCATCCGAAACAAGGCCTCGCTAGCCTTTTTCGATCCCCACTGATCAGCTTTCAGGAGGAAAGGGAGGCCCAGCGGTGTTGGCTCCTCGCCGCCCTTCTATTGTGTGCGGGTAAGTGATTCGATGAAACAAGCTGCGGTTGGTAGACAGCCAATCAGTCGTTGGAGCGAGGAAGGCCTGAAGGCAACGACGCTTTCCCTTCACGAGCTGATGTCGACGACAGGCTGGTAGCGAGGCCTACGGGTCGCTAGGTACCGCCGTGTCGTCACCTGCACGAGACCAGACGCCGCAGCCACACTCACCTTATGCCCGGATCCGCCCTACCTGCGACCTTCGTCGACACCGACGGTCCGACTCCGAGAGCAACTCGCCCACGTTGTGGCGCAGCCAGCTGAACACGATGCCACGACAGTTGCATTGGGTCGATCTCCCAGATTAGCAGCGTTCGCCGTCAGGAACCATGCATAGACCGAGGGCTGTTAATAATCAGGGTCTAATACTGTCGAGAGTAACAGAAGTGACGGCTAAAAGGTGGAGGCCCAGTAAAAGACCTTGCGCATGAGGGATACCCAGGGTGCGACGCATGAAGTTCGATGACATCGACGCGGCCGGTCGCCCACAAGGCCTGCAATCAAAGACCTCTTTGTCATTCTGGCCGGTCCGCTGCTGTTAAGACTCCAGAACTTCAGTCTGGCGCCCGTGTCGCAAACACGGCGGTAAGTAACCTCTGCGTTACCTGCAAAAAGTCGCGATTGTACAACCCTGGTTTGTTGTTGGACAAGCCATGGCGCACGCCCGGTGTGCGTCGAGATGAGCACGTCTGCCAATGGGAGGCTCCGCAGCGGCTTTCGCGAAGGATGCTGATCGTTTCAGCTTTAGCAGGCGATCGCCACTCCACACCATGGCTAGCTCTTCCCACTATGGAGTTATCGATAGGCTAGGATTCGGCATTCCCCTGCATAGTACACAGACCGTCGGCACAAACTTCAAACCTGACGTTGGCCCCCTGGCCATAGCCTCGCACCAATGCCTTCCCCTCTGAGTCGCTCTCCGCTTTTTTGTTTCAAGGACAATGCTCTTGTCATGACCACATGGCCAATGGTATCGGTATCGTGCCTGCCGAGAGCTCAGGACTTTGACGTTACACCACTTATCCTGCGCTCGTCCCCCTGCCGCTAAACCGGGAGGGGGACGCCAGCCGAAAGAAGCCCGTCAACCGTTGCAAGAGAAGCCTTGCTCCGTCGAATAGCCTATGCTTCTTCACGATGATCCGCCGGGCATAGGCTCCTGAGTCCTTGCACTGCTGTACGAGCCCGTCCCGACCGCCACAGGCTAGCCATGTGGGTAGACATGAGCCTCCGTATATAACTGATCTGTGTTTCGTCTGCTTTTCCTTCTCATCTCAGGCTATTCACAGCAGTACCAAACTCCTCTCTGTTTCTTTTGCTTTTGCACATCTTGCCTGTGGCAGATCACATTCTTTACCATTGCTGTGCGTCAACGAAGAGCTAGACTCAACAACACTTCTCCCACCTATATCAAGTACTACTTGCTCTTCGGCCTTCAAACCACCACAGCCATCACATTCATTTCATCGCTCAGCAGGTCTAGCGATATCCAATCGAGAATATCTACTTCTCATATCACTCTTTCAAACATCAACATGTTCTTCTCGACCACCCTACTTGTGGCTCTTGCCGCCAGTGCCTCCGCACATATGACCATCGAGTACCCGGTACCCTACGGCAAAGACACCCTCACCAGCTCTCCCCTCGAGCCCGGAGACTTTCCCTGCAAGCAACGTGCCGGCGTTTACGATGTCACCGAGATGAACCAGTGGAATGCTGGTGAAACCAAGGATGTCTCCTTCAAGGGCTCCGCTGTCCATGGAGGAGGTTCATGCCAATTTTCCATTACAACTGATATGGAGCCAACCGAGGCCAGTCAGTGGAAGGTCATCACAAGCGCCATCGGCGGCTGCCCTTCGAATGTCACTGGCAACCTTAAGGAAGACCCCAACGGCCACGGCGCAGCCACTTTCCCCGTCACCATGCCTGACAACATTCCTGAAGGCAAGTACACCTTCGCCTGGACCTGGTTGAACAAGGTCGGCAACCGCGAGTTCTACATGAACTGCGCTCCTCTTCAAGTTGGTGGCGGCGCATCAGCCAAAGCCTCAACCGCCAGTGCGGCCCAAGCCCTGTCGTCTCTTCCTGACATGTTCGTTGCCAACCTCCCTGCCACCGAGTGCACAACTTCCGAAGGTCAGGACTTCAACTACCCCGACCCTGGCCAGAACGTCATTGAGGGAAGTGGTGCTACTCTCGGCGACTCCGTCAGCGGCTCCGGATGCTCGACTATGACCAAGATGGGTGCTGGTAACGGACAGATGGGAACGCCAACTCAGCCCGAGGCTTCGCAGCCCGCATCAAGCGAGACCCCTGCTGCTACTTCTGGCTACGCCGCTCTTCCATCCAACGGCGGTGGTGTCTTTGCCCCCGGTGCCTCTTCCGCTCCCGCTGCCGAGCCTACTCCTGCCGAGCCCACTGCTCCTGCTGCACCTACTTCTACTTATGTCGCCGAGCAGCCTAGCAGTGCACCCGAACAGCCAGCCTACAGCGCGCCTCCTCAGGTGCCCGACAACAGCACTCCCAGCGCACCCTCCAGCGGCAGTGACTGCACCCCCTGTGACAATGATGGCGCTGTTGTATGCATCGGTGCCAACATGTTCGGTCTTTGCAACCGCGGATGTGCTGTTGCCCAGCCGCTTGCCAACGGCATGTCTTGCTCTGGTGGTGCTGTCGTTGCTTCCACCAAGCGATCTCTCAAGTTCCCTCGCGCCCATCTCCACCGTCGCCACGGCTCATCTCTCCTTATCTAAGAGAGTTGCATACGCTTTTACACATCCTCAACAGCCGTCGGCTACGAAATGCAATACACGGAGTTTGGGAAACGGATCGGGACACCCTTGGATTGGGTCGTCATACAGGATGGGTTGGGTTTTGGGTCTCTTGTTCATATACCTCTTCATGATGCGCGGATGCCGTTTGGTTCTGGCTCGTGACTGTTTCTGCGCTTTACTTTTGTTATATTCATTCATGACCAGCTCTAGATTGAGCTGGCATGCCCTGTTATCTTCCTTGGAGAGAATCGCTGTGATCAGCCTCGTGTCTACGAGCGCAACATACCCTGTACCTACTGTACAAAATCATACAAAACGATTGTTCGTTCTACACTATTTTGCTCATATGTATGAATGTCGTGACACTCGCTTACTTGCTCCCGCTCTTAGATCCTTCCTATTGTAAAACCACTGCGTACGAGAAAGAACCTGAACGGTTCTAGAGCCTACACTGACATTAGGCCAGCTACTTTACATTTCTTCATGTTGATGTAGGCCGCAGACCTGTTCAGTCTTTTCCCAGGTTGTCGTCAATCTACCACTTAAGACAGCATGGGAAAGCCATCCAAGAGCGCATTGTCTGCACTTCCTAATCATGATATTTCATTGGCTCTATACAACTTTGGCGATATATACAAACGTAGCGTAGCCAAGCAAAACCACGAGGCTATTCACCGGTTTATGACGTTCATGGGATGGCCGGCTCCTGATTGGGCAGCCTCTCAGGGAACAGCCAAGGGGACCAACTTCCCCTCTGATTCCCACTTTCAGCCCTAAGCTCCTGTCGCCAGCGCACACCCGAGCACGCGACGAGCCAAACGACAAATCCCCCTACGGCCAGTCGACTACTATTATTTCGTGCTGTCAGGCCTCAGAATTCTAACCGCGCCGAGGCCCTCGTTTCGCACGCCGCCGCCACTCAAGCTTAGGCGGTCATTGCGCTCGCCCCACTACTTCGCTGCCTTCACCTCCACCGTCTTCTTGTGCTCGCTCCCTACGCCTTGCTGTGCAGACCGCCCACCATGGAGAACCAACCGCAGGACGTCGACCAGTCCAAGTACATTGACAATGCTATTCGCGCCGTCCGTGAGAAGAAGCCGCTCCCTGAGATTGACTTCACCCTGCATACTATGGAGGATGGAAACCAAGTGAGCACCCAGGAACGTGTATGCAAAGGTATGCTCATTCTATACGTCATGGCATGGCATTCCGCCAGCTTGTTCGCGTTTGCGCCGTTTTCGAGGCACACAGTCAGCTAACTGTGCCGTGTTCGCCAGACGTACAAGCACCCGCCTTCCACCCGCCCACCGACGAGCAATTCTTCTCTCCCCAAGATCGCACAAAGCCCAACATCCAATTCCTGAAGCAGCACTTCTATCGCGAAGGTCGCTTGACCGAACAACAGGCGCTATGGATCATAAAGAAAGGCACAGAGATCCTCAAGTCGGAACCCAACATGCTGGAGATGGACGCACCCATTACCGTGTGCGGTGATGTTCACGGCCAATACTACGATCTCATGAAGCTGTTTGAAGTCGGTGGCGACCCAGCAGAGACGCGCTACCTCTTCTTGGGAGACTACGTCGATCGCGGCTATTTCAGTATAGAGGTAAGACGGCAGGAAAGCAGCCGCTGTGCATTGGCTGACACTCGCAGTGTGTTTTGTACCTCTGGTCGCTCAAGATCTGGTACCCCAACACCCTCTGGCTTCTCCGAGGAAATCACGAGTGCCGCCATTTGACCGACTACTTCACATTCAAGCTCGAATGCAAGCACAAGTACTCCGAGGCCGTGTACGAGGCCTGCATGGACTCGTTCTGCGCACTCCCCTTAGCGGCTGTTATGAACAAGCAGTTCTTGTGTATACACGGTGGATTGAGTCCCGAGCTCCACACTCTGGACGACTTGAAGAGCGTACGTGGAACCATGCCTCATCCAACGCCAGCGCTAACCTTATTAGATTGACCGTTTCCGCGAGCCACCTACCCACGGCCTCATGTGCGATATTCTCTGGGCTGATCCTCTCGAAGAATTCGGCCAGGAGAAGACCAACGACTTCTTCGTTCACAACCACGTCCGCGGATGCTCATACTTCTTTTCGTACCCCGCTGCGTGCGCTTTCCTCGAGAAAAACAACCTTCTGTCAATCATTCGTGCACACGAGGCGCAAGATGCTGGATACCGAATGTACAGGAAAACACGGACGACTGGTTTCCCCAGTGTCATGACAATTTTCAGCGCGCCGAACTACCTCGACGTATACAACAACAAGGCTGCGGTTCTGAAGTACGAGAACAACGTCATGAACATCCGACAGTTCAACTGCACACCGCATCCGTACTGGCTGCCTAACTTTATGGACGTCTTCACATGGTCATTGCCATTTGTTGGCGAAAAGAGTGAGCAGAAGTGCCAATTCATATTGCAATATCATACTAACAAGTCGTAGTTACTGACATGCTCATTGCGATCCTAAACACCTGTTCGAAGGAGGAGCTCGAAGAGGAGACGCCCAGCTCTCTGGCTTCCGGTCCATCGTCGCCACCCCTCTCCAGTCTCGACCCAGATTCGACCGAGTTCAAGCGACGTGCGATCAAAAACAAGATTCTGGCGATTGGTCGCCTCTCTCGTGTGTTCCAAGTGCTGCGCGAGGAGTCTGAGCGTGTCACTGAGCTCAAGACTGCATCGGGTGGTCGACTTCCCGCGGGTACGCTCATGCTCGGTGCGGAGGGAATCAAGCAGGCGATCCACAGCTTCGAGGACGCACGCAAGGTCGATTTGCAGAACGAGAGGCTCCCGCCGAGCCACGAGGAGGTGCGAAAGTCTCAGGAGGTTAGCCGAGAGCAGGCTCTCGAGAAGGCCACCAAAGAAGCCGACAATGACCAAGGTCTCGCGACTGTCGCAAGACGCATCAGCATGTAAGCAGCGATCCTACGTAGCTTGTCGTGCAGTAACTAATTCGCATAGGTCATCTGGCTCTGGACGCAGCCGGAGAAGCTAGGCGCGATTCAAGCGCTCGCGATCCGAGAGCGAAGCCGATAGACGAGCTATGACATTGCAGGATGTTTAGGTTCTTGATTTCTGTATTGGCGGGCCACCAAATGTCATCAGTATACCACGTAGGCGCATTCGGGCCAGCGTAACCTAGAGAGGGCATCACCTTACGAAGCACGGTAGTAATTTGTCGGTCGATTGCTCAAGTTTAAGGGCGTCGACCTCTCATTGAATCACATAAAATCAAATTCCTATGACACCAGTGTACAGCCACTTGCTCCGTGTGAAGGCGTATGAGACTGCGCACGGGCCCGGGCCGAAGCTAGCTTTGCCGACCTACGTCAACATGGACATTTCAACAGCAATGCTCAACTTCAAGCCCGATGCCTCCATGGGTGGCCTCAGTGCCGCGACTGACGATCTTTCGCAAGACAGGACCGACTGATCGACTCCCGCTTGCGCGTCGCTGCCGCAATGTCCTCACTTCACGCCCGACCACCAGCCTCCGCGTGCGCTCCGCATCGACGCATGTCTCCCCGACCGCGATAAACCTGCGCCCGCACATCCCACCTCGGAACAAGGAGTTGTACGATGCACTGTCAGCGCTTAGTGGAGCCGCCGAGACCTACGTCAATATAAGCAGATTGCAATTGGCATTGCGGGGTCTGGCGGCGCAGGATGCTGTAACAAGAGTCGCTGGTACGGAACGCGCAGTTGAATTTGACGACTAGGGGCTGACGATGGACAGTTCTCGGTTTGAACAGCCAATTGAGTGCGCAGCAGCTTGCACGGCTACTACTCGCAGATCCGCTCAGTGCTGAGGAGCAGTGGGAGAAGGAACTGGTGAAACCAGGCGACAGCAGCGAGAGAGCGGTATTGCTAAAGTATGTGCTGATCTGCCATACTGGATAGCGCATCAGCTAACATGATTATTGTACAGATACGGCGACGATGTCGATGCACATGCGCCTTCGCCCCTCTACAAGGTCCTCTCTATACCCTCACGAACCCTTCAATCGCACAACCTAGAGGTCCTCGTCTCTACCATCAACGTCAATGTCGCAAAGTCCCTACCCCATATGGTGACAGAGAGCTCCACCGAAACGTTGCTGGTTCCCAAGCTCCAGGCCACTTCCGCACGAGGATTGCCCGTCCCATACCCGGTACACAAGACTCTAGTATTAGGAGAAGGACTGGACAGCGCCATAGCATTTGGAAGATTCTCAGCGGATGGGCTGAACGAGATGGATGATATGGTAAAGATGGCCGTCGACCTCCCCGCCCCGTCGGACGAAGTCAAGTCGGATACCCACGCCGCAAGCGCTCCCATCAACCTCCAAGTTGGCACGAAAGCGCTCGATAGCTTCCGCGAGTCGATCCAAAATTCCATCATCTATGAGCGAGGGTGGTTCAAAAGTGGTTTGCCAACGCTGTCGGAGTGGTTAGTCCAAGACCTTCAGGCCACAGACGCTATCAAGCCCCCGATGAAGACGCTTGTAGCTTCTATAGCCGACGACGTAGAAGCGAGCATCACCAAACAAGACGCTGCTCGATTGCAACAGCTTGCTCCAGTCCAGACACAATCAGACATCACAACCTCCATCGTCGGTCATCTCGAGACCTGGGCCGAAAAGTCTCATGCGGAGCTCCGTGACGAGCTTGATGAAGCCTTCACGGCTCGGAACTGGCACAAGTTAGCTTGGTGGAAGCTCCTCTGGCGTGTGGACGACGTCACGATGATAAGCTCGGAGATCCTCGAGCGGCGATGGCTCGTCTCAGCGGAGAAGAACAGCATCTACCTCGCCGGTCGCATGAACCAAGCTGGTTTCCCAGATGACGTCCACCATCTCGCCGTTACCGACATCCCGGAAGTGACAACGCAGGACACAGCGCCGACAGCAGAGAATCCGCGAACAGATCTATCCACCAACGTCCGGAAACCAATACCATGGCCTGAACACATCGCGGCTGCTCGCACAGAACTCATCAACGACACCGTGCCACCTCTGCAGGCACTCGCTCAACGACTTCTCCTACAGACCTTCAGCACAACTTCCCTCTCGTCCGCTGCCTCAGCACTGCTCTACGCCTCCATGTCTACATTCTCCGTCTTCGAGGCTTCAGCCGTCGCAGCACTCGGTCTTACGTTTTCTCTTCGCCGCATGCAGAAACTATGGGAAGGTGCCAGAGAATCATGGGAGGGTACCCTGAGAGAAGAGGGTAGACGCACGTTGAAGGGTACAGAGGAGCGAGTCAGGTTCATTATCAATAATGGAGGGAAGGAGTACGTTGAGGATGAAAGTGTAGCTGAGAGGAGAGCAGCGAGGGAAGCTGTAGCAAAGGTCAGAGAGGCACTTGAGCGGATGGACGGTGGGGATGGCAAGGGCAGTGTATGATAGATATGTATGAACTTGATTCAGTGTCGAGGAACAATCTCCGTCGTAGTCGAATCAGAATTGGCGATTTCCCCAGTTCACCTCCTCTCTCGACTCAAATATTCTGCTGCTTAAGAGTTGCCTGTATTGCAATGTCTGAGTGAAGTGGGGTGACACGATCTCAGCGCAGGTTGCGCATTGCAGGTTGCCTGCAGGTTGCTTATTCACTACAACCTGCCAACATCTCATTTTTTCTCTAAAGCTAAATGTAGCATGAATTGGCGCGAATTCGCGCCGATTTGGCGTGATTCTGCCTTATTCACTAACTTTCTGCAGTGTACTCTTGCAAGAGTACGAGACCGTCACTGTACTGTTGCCTAGGGTACGCGACAGTGCCGTACTGTGCAGCATCGTCCATCGTGGCCGCCTAGCCTGCTCCACAGGTCTTAACAAAGCCTTGTCTGTACACAGACAGACCTTACAAGGTCTTCTTCTGCACAACATCTTGTGTTATACATAGAGCGAAGAAGACGCACGCACACATTCTAGGAAGTAGCACACTTAAGCTGCAGAGGTATAAAAGGTAAAGGTAGATACTTTTATTCTGGGCGCACAAGGCTAGCAGCTAGCTATAAGTTGTCTCAAACCGTGAGCAGCCCGTAGACCTAAGTGGTGACTTAGTGATAAATAGCTTAGAAGAAAAGAAAAATGGAAGAGACCTCCGGAACAAACAGAAATCCAAAAATGCAAATAGTTAAGAAGTTAATTGCCGGCTAGACACGAAGCTCAGGCATACGCCCAACAAACTCCAAACAAGAAACCCTAATGTCTGACCTTGCCACCTAGTTTGGGATAAAGCCGCTTGCAAAAAGAAAAGCACCGCAATATAAGGGAAGAGGATGTCTGTGTTCATGTAGTTAGCAAGAGCAAAGACGAAGGGGCTCTATAAATAGATAGAGAGCAGCAGGACTTACTAGAAGATGAGAGGGAAAGTGAGGAAGACACTGGTTCCTGTTCACTTCCGCGGACTTCCTAGGGCAGAAAGGTTAGCAGTATTCGAGACGCAGTTTTGCGGGAGAGAAGAAAGTCTTACAGGTTCTGTGGCCTCTTAGCATGATGTTCTCTTCTTCCAAAGAGTCGTCTTCTAAGCAGCCTTCTTTCCCTTCTTCTTAGTAGCTCTAAGAAACTTGAAGAAGGCAATTTGGCCATCGAGCTTTTTCTCGTTCCAGGTTTTCCAATCTCGGAGAAGCTTGCGCTTCTCCTGGCGGCTACCAAAGCTCTTTGTTACATTCATCTTGTAACGTGTGCGGTCATCTTCCAGAAACAGCGCTTGGTTGATTGGTCTTCTGTGACAGTCATGCGATACTTGTATCAAAACGCTGAACTGTGTAGAGTCAGCGTGGTAGTTTGAGTGACATGCTGGTTTACTGACGCGCGGATGCTCTCCATCGTTCCGAGCGGGTTCTCCTTCTTGAGGGACATCCTCTTCCTTATCTGATGTCAGTACCTTCATAGCTCAGACAGTTTCTGTACTCACTCTCTCTTGGTTCCTGGCTGTCGACTCGCTCGCAAACCTGTTCTTGAGGGGTTCGTCATCGTCGGTGTCTTGTTCTTGGTCGTTTCCGGCGAGGTCATCACTATCTTCCACAAGAATAGGATGCCGTGCCGAGCCCCAGTCATTAGCTGAAGGTGTGGATGCCATAGCTACCTAGGTAAGGTCGAAGAACTATGTGACGAAGTTGCTTGGGTGTGGAATGTTGGGTGTGGAATGTTGGGTGTGGAATGTTGGGAGTGGAATGTTAGGGGTGGAGAGTATGGAAGTAAACCCCAAATCACAAAAGACGAGATTATATAGTACCTCTTCTCCCCCGTCTACCAGCGGTCAAATTATTAGGCATCTGTCTCTCACTCTAGATGTGGTAGGTGCGTCGCCTACCCCGCATTTACAAAAAAGAGATGAGAAGCTATAGGTGAAGGCAAAGGGCGGTATGTTGTGAGCAACACGAGCTAGCTGGCGGTGTCTGAGGGACAGACAGCGAGTGGCTCTCGCTGTGGGAGAGCAGCGTTTGCAACGGGCGGAAATGAACAGGCCAATAAACACAGACGCCAATGCCGCAGTGACGGTGGGAAAAGGACTGACGTTGAGTGGAAGTGGATGATGGGTAGGCTCAGCCGCAACTTAGTCACCTAGTTTGAACATTGAGAAAAGCACCCAAAGTTACACGCATAACAAGAGTGTTGGATATAAAGTATATGATTTGAAGTTCAAGTTTGATTATGATCCGAATAAACACCAAACAAACCAAAGCGCTAGCTAGACATTGTAGTGACTGTGCAGCAACGCTGTACAAAATACCAAATGAGTATACTCGCAAAACATCAAAACAGAATGCTACTGTGTACGGCCACTCCATCGCAGACCCATCTAGAAGATCTCGCCAAGTCGAGGCTTTCCACCCTTCCAATCATTGCGCTCGTAGTATCGGAAGACAAGATCGTAGCCATCCAAGTCATGTACAATGCGGTCGACGCGACGGTATCCGGCAATTGTCTCCATCCTCTTCGCCTTCTCAATGTTCTTGGCGGGCATCTCGTCAGCAGTAGGCTTAGCCTCGAAAAGAGTGACGCTGAACCTGCCAGGCTTGAAGATGCCGACGACATGCTCGACGACGTCAGCCGTCTCTCTACCAGTCTGGCGGGCAGGTACATTGGTCTCGAACGAGGCGTAGGAGCACTGGGGCTCGGGTGTGACGTGTACAGTGAAGTAGTGGGTGGCATCAGAACCCTTCTTGGAGCCGTTGGGAGCACCACCTGGGGCGGGAATGACGCCGTTGGCCGAGAAGCCACAGGGCGTGAACAGGTAGGCGTCGATGCGGGCGTCGGGGTACTTGGAGGTAGGGTAAACATCAGCCAGACCACAGTGCTCAGAAACAACCGTGCCGAGCGTATGGCCCTCAGTGGTCAACTCCTCCGGGAAAGTAAGCTCCTCGTCAGAGTTGAAACCAGAGTGATCGGAAGAGGTCTGCTCGAACACGTCGAAGCTGTCGTCAGAGGTATGGGTGTTAGCAGCGGAATTGAGGACAGTGGAGCCGCCGAGGCTCTCGCTGTGGCCATTCTCTTCCGCAATGGTACCTAGGGACTGGATGGCGTTCTTGCGAGCCTCACGGGCCCTCTGGATGTAGCGACCTTCCGCAACCGCACTTGCGTCCTCTAGATAGAACTGACGGGCGTTCTTCTCATCGAGGTCGGTCATCAGGATCTCCAGAGTCTCGTCCTCTTCTTCGTCGGTGGCCTGCTCACGCAACATGCGTTGGGGGTGGCTCACGAACTTGGTCTCGGTATCAGGCGCAAGCTTCTCCTCACCAGGACTGGGAGGTGGAGTGAGGCTGGTGTCTGGACCGGTGATGTAGAGGTACCAATGTTCGCCGTTCATCTTGCCAATCATATAGGCACTGCCACCCTGGAAGCGGTCGTCAAGGTAGCGAACCTCATCACGCCAGCTGCGGTGGGGTCCACGCTGCTGATCGGGGTAGAGATAGTTCTTCCTGCTGTAGAACACTCGGTATGGTGTGGCGGCTGGCGCGACGCCTGATGCCTTGGGTGCAACAAAGGGGAAGCCAACCCCTGCAGCAATCTCCAGCATACGGGTGAGACCCCATAGTAGAGTAGTGGTTCCGCAGGTCTTGAGCACGACCTTGTGAGGAAAGACGAACATGCTCGACTCGGACAAGAGGTAAGCGTCGACATGTTCAGACTCGATGACAGAGAGAACCTTGCAGTTGACAAGATCGAGCATGTCTTTCCAGACATCCGCCGACACCGTCTTCAGTCCAGTTGGGCCGGCCTGTCCAGGCAGTTCGGTAGCAGAAGCGCTAAACCATACTTCCAAGAGCTTCTCAGGACCCTCAAACGAGTTGGTAGAGTCGAGATCGATGGTAGCCTCTTTGTTGATGGTCAAATGAGGGGTGCCAATGTGCGACGAAGGCGAGGCAGTGTAGTGCTGAGGAATCTCAGTAGCGACCATCTCTTGACTGTGTGGCTGTCGCGCGCACGAACAGGTATGATAGGTGTGGTTGGTGGCCGTGGCTGTACGGAAGCTTGGGGAGGTGGCTAGCTAGGAAGCTATGTGCAGCACAACCTCGCTCAGACAAGCAATGCGGTGCTCGCCTGAGAAGAATTGGCCCACGGGTCGCAAAGAGTAGGCGAGGCTGGCGTGTGCCAGCAGCAGTTTATGGAGGAGAGGGTAACCGACCGTAGTCGATGTTAGGGAGGTCGGGCGTTGAGGGGAATAAACGAGGCCTTTCGCCGGGAAATGGTGGCAGTGGTTGGGGTCCTCGCGATACCAGATTCCGATACCCTGGGGAAGTATCGGGTCCAGCAGACGAGGAGATCTGCTTTAGATGGGTACGATGGTGGGTGGTGAAGGACGGGGCGTGGCGGGTGTTATCGAGGCCTGTGAATAGTCAGCGCTGGCCGTTGGAATGTCTTGCACACTGCTTCTCGCGGAGACAACGACTCACTTCGCAGGCTTGGACAGAAAGCGTACCAGGTCCTCGCGACGCATAGAAGAGCCGAGGTGGGCGGCGATAGACGGTCTGCGGGCTACTGAAGCCTAGGCAGTGGTGGACAGGGAGGAGAGTAGGTCTGCCAGCGTGACGATGTAGGTCTGGTGGGGAGCGTTGAGCAGAGAGTCAAAGCAATGGCGTTGGGCGCTGATAGAATCTGCGTGAATGAGCGGGCGGACGTGACGAGGTTATATTCCCACACGGCAGGCGCGAGAGAGATGGGCGTGTGCAGAGTGTCAGGAGAGCGACGTACTGTGCGCAGTGGGTGCAAGCTTCACTAGGGGAATTTGACGTGTGTGGTGCTGGGGCGACGTCGTGGAAGCTTCGGGCCTTCACGCGACAGCGATTTTTCACGAGTGCGGTGTTTTCGCATCAGGACGTCACCGCCCGTCCCAGTTGGCTGGAGCGCCCCGCCGTCTGCCATTTCACCCGACTCGGCCACCCGCCATGTGCCTGACACAAGACGCGAATAGGCCCGACTGCCACTGCTGCCATGATCGGCTGCTGCTATGTACATCAGGGAACATGCTGCCTCTGCCATTCCATACTACGCCCAGCCGGGGTTAGCAGCACATGATCATGGCTTTACACGTACGTACCAATGGTACCTGATCTCACCAGCACAGCCTTACGCCCTCAATCAACCCGATGGGCATGTAGTCTATGCTCCTTCGTAATCTCCGTCGTCAAAGTATCCCAATTCTGATGCAGCTGCTCTACATCACTGCGTGCGACCACCTATCACAGCCAAGGCGAAAACTCACACCATCCAATATAGCCAAGTTGATTGTATTGCCCGGAATAATAATCGCACAAACTGCGTATACATGTATAACACCTCCCCATAAGAACACCAGGCCCTATGACGCCAGCACAGCCCCTGCAACAAGCAAGCATACTCCCAGTACTTGTGACTACGGGCCGAAACACCAGGCGCACCCGTCCGTCTTTGTTCCAGCTTAATCGCATACAACAAACCTGATATATCTATATCCTGAATCAACACTTATTACCACCTAACCTTCCCGTTCAGGCATCTTCAACTTCAGCTTTCCTCTATTGATCATCATCTCGAAACATTCTCTCAGATCCAATACTAGCGCATCTGGTGCCTCGAAGCCTGGCAACATTGCGGGGCGGCCAGCATGGCGCTTCGCCCAGGATATGTCCCAGGAACGTGCACCCCACATTAGCGGTGTTGCGGTGCTGCTGTTAGGATGGAGGAACGTGGAGATGCCAAGGGGAGTGGATGTGAAGGGTTGGTAAGAGGGGGATTGCATGTCGATGTGCGCGCGGCGGAGCCAGCGGAGGGCCTATTCGTCGTCAGATGTCAGCGGTGAGGAACTTCAGACGAAGAGTTCCAAGGGTAGACCAAGATGAGCTTCAGCAGATCCTCAAGTGGCAAAGAGTACGTCACAAACAGCGGCGAGTGCCTCCCAACCTCCTCATAACAAGCGCGTCAAATATATGAAAAGGGTAACGTACCGCTTCAGGCCCTGGTAACCATTGCAACATTGTAAAGTTCAGCACCTCCGTAGGACTCCATGTATAACTCTTCCCATCGCCGTCCACTCTATCTGGGCTCGTCGCACCTCCAGGTTGTGCCGTAGATGTCGAAGGCACATCCTCCTCTTCCTCTTGCTCTTCCTCGCCTCGCTGCATCTCCAGCTCAACCGGTGAAAGAAAGGGACTCCTTGGCCGCGACGAGAGAGGACGCGGTGGTACATCTCTCGTATGTATTATGTCGAGCAAGGCAGCAAGCAATCCCACAGGTGAGTCGCATAAAGAGAAGGCCAATGTCTGCGGCCGAAGCGAGTAGAGTCGATGTAGCGTGGGTCCCAGCGGCTCGCCGCCACACACTGCATCCAATGTTGCCAGGTCATTCCCATGCAGGCCTTTCGGAGGTGTCTGCACTTCATTCGGCATATATCCAAAGCTCAACAACGGCACCTTTGCCCGCGTCAGTTTCGCAACCCGGTACTTGAGATAACGCATCGGCCCGCTCTTCAAGTTCGGCTTGTCAAACGATGGATTCGTAGTATGCACCGCCCGACAACTCTCTGGATGTCTCAATGCCAACGCGCGACATATACCAAATCCCCTGTAAGACTCGTCAGCGACCACGTAGCCAAAGTCG